TTTAACTGCAAGCACGATTCATGCAATTCTTCTTTCAATCACAAACTTTTCTTCAAGCTTTTCCAAGGCCTCTGAATTTAAGTCATTGCAAAGCAAGCAACCTTTAAGCTTACTCTTCCTCATCCAAATTGACAAGCACTTTTTCACTCAGGTTCAATAACATCTATGCCATCAAACAGAAGAACATCATTGGAATTTCATGGCATCCATAATCATAAACATTAAATTTAATCACCTCACCATCAAATTCCATAGTTAATGTCCCCTCATACACATTTATCTTAGTTCTAGCGGTACTAAGAAAGGGTCTTCCAAGTAGTAAATTACAGGAATTAGAAGATTTATCATCCTCCATATCAATAACATAAAAATCCGCTGGAAATATTAAGTTATTCACCTGAACTAACACATCTTCCAACACTCCCTTGGGGTAAACTATAGATCTATCGGCAAGAACAATAAGTATCCCAGTTTCTTTTAAAGGGCCAACATTTAGTTGCAAATAAATAGAATAAGGCATTACAGAGCATTACCATTTAATTCGATGTTCCTAAAATCACAGAATAGCCTTATCAATCCCGAATTACCAATTTGACAAGGTATGCGCAACATACCTTTATCTTTGCATTTTTGGGGTAATTTTTTTTTGAACACAGCAGAACATTTTCTCCCACATCCAATATACCCAGATAATTTTTTTATTAGTGCACAACTCTTAAGAAACTTTGCATATCCTGGGTATTTTCATTGAAGCATCGAGCAGTGGAATATTGATTTCCCCACTTTCCGGAATATGTCAAGAATTTCTTTCTCTTCTTCTTCCCTCTTAGATTGGCAATCTTCTGAGGAAAAGGGGGCTGAACATCTTCAGAATGTTCAGATTTCTCATTCCGCACCATCGGTTGGCTTGACCTTCTCTACTTCTTCCTCTCGGTATCAAGTCAACGTACACATTTTTTGCTGCTGGAATTTCCAGCTTTCGCTTGCCCACTCCTCAAAGTAATTGCATTTGCATTACTGTTTCGGAATCAAAATAGTTTGAGAAGGTACTTACCTGAGACTCTAACTTTAACCCAATGAACGTGGCTAATTGGCTAACTTGGTTCTCTTCCAAATTTTGGATGCTAGTTCGTGTTCTTTTGCCTGAAATTGCATAAGTGTTAGAGCCAAGTGATTTAACAATGTCTTTTCAAGAGACATCCTGAACTAGAAGACCCATGAAATCAGGTGCTGGCTGCCTATTCTCTGAAATTTTGGAAAATATGACCGGTTTTGTTCCGTAGCTCAAATTTGGTGTCTGCCAGCCCGATTATAGGTGTTTGAATCGGATCATATTTCGTTGAGGACCGAAAAAATTCCCATTGCATATTGGCTTGTTCTTGACTTTCAATACTTGCTGCCCTTTTCCTACAACTAAATTCCGAACCAAAGATGTTAAATCATTAATTTTATTTTCAAGAGAAGAAACACTTACCTCATTAATATTTCTCGAAGGTTCATGGCGAGACCTGAATTGTTGAGAATTTGCAGCCATCGTGGAAAGCAATTCCCTTGCAGCTTGGGGAGTTTTATTATCGATTGCTCCACCACTTGCTGCATCTATCATTTGCCTCTCCATAGGTAATAAACCTTCATAAAAATACTGTATTAAGGCTTGATCAGAAAATCCATGTTGCGGACAGCTAGCGGACATTTTCTTAAATCTCTCCCAATACTCATGTAGAGTTTCATTATTCTTTTGTCGACTCCCACAAATATCTCTTCTAATGCTGGCAGCCCTTGAAGCAGGAAAGAATTTATCTAAGAAAGTTCTTACCATTTCTGTCCATGACGTAATAGATTCAGACGGCAAATAAAATAACCACTCTTTGGCAGAATCGGCTAAAGAGAAAGGAAAAGCTCTTAATTTTATTTGTTCCTCAGAAATTCCATGGGGTTTCATGGTAGAGCGGGTTTCATGGTAGAGCATACAACATGGAAAATTTCTTTTAAATGTTTTGTTGAGGATCTTCATCCAACAAACCTCTTAAAAGTGGGCAATAATTGGATCAAACCTGATTTAAGCTCAAATGAACCGCCCCAAAGGCTGGTATGCTGATGCAAAGAGGAGTTTGAATTAATTGGAGGTTGGTTTGCCAACTCCCTTAATGTTTTCTGATTCAGCGCATCTCCTCTTCCGGTTTCAAACTCACCTTTACAACTTTTCAGAAAGTTCAAGAACAAACAGTCTCTTCTGGGTGTAAGTTAGTGTAGGAACTTCAGGTATTCAATTTAGTTTTGCTTAGAGTTACGTGTAGCAGTTGGTAGGACAATTGTTCTTTTTGCTTTGCCTCTCTTTTCTCAATCATCTAGCAGGTTTTCTCGATTTCAAATCGTATTTGGATCACCTGGTACTATCTGATCTGGTCATAAAAATATATATATATAATTATTAACTCTAGTCCCCGCAACGGCGCCAAAAAATTTGGCCGTGTCGAATCCGCCAAAATTAATAATCTCACTTACCAATTTAAAGAACTTTAAGAAAATGGTGAGTTAAGGCGAAATCCACAGAGACTAGAGAAATTAAAATATTATTTTTTAAAACCAGAAAATAAAAATGAATATGAATGGAGGATGGAAAAATTTATTGGAATCTTAGCAAAAATAATAATTTTTAAAAATGGGAAATTCAATTGGGAGGAAAATATTTCCCAGCCAAGGTCAATCTTGTACTAGTTCTTTCGTGTTGATCATCTTGAATTTCAAAATTGGACTCATTTAACATAATCAATAAATTGGTTATGGTTACCAAAAATGCTTTTAAACAACCTAGTTCTTTTCGTAGTAACAGGAATAGCAAGACAACGCGGTTTTGATTTAATTCCTTACCAAATATTTAATTTTGACAGCGCCTAAAATTTAAAATTATATTGTTAGCCATTAAGAATAAGAAAGACCCATTCAATCTTAATAAACAACATGTGTAGTTTTCTATTCAAGAAGATTTGTTTATCCCTTAATTATAACTTGAAAATCTGGCTCTAAACAAGCTATATTAATTGGCTACAAATTTGTTTAACTTTGTTAACTCAATCAAACAATTACGGATTTAATTAATTATATTAACTAGCACCTGTCACTCTAAATTAATCAAATAACTGGCCATTTACTTAATTAAATAGAACAACAATATCTATCTAAACCATTAATTGCAAGAGATAGATAAATATTGAAGAGTTAAATGAGTAAAAAAGAAGAACAATTCTCACAACACTTCGGTAGACTAGCACTTGATTGAACCTTAAGCTGGAATTGAAAGAATTCAGCCACGTATGGCCATTTCCAAGCTTACAAACTAAAGAAAAGAATTATTAACTCAAAACTCCGATATCCCACCAATCTCTCCCTTTATAGAAGAGAAGAGAAGAGTATTTCAAAGGAAACTTGAAAAAAAATTATATTTACAATCAAATCAAATCTCAGCAAAATAAAATCCATGATCCTTCTCTATTCTTCAAAACCCTTTGAATAAATCTTCCAAAAAGAATCCAGCAGCTCCTCATCCTGCTGCTTAGTGATTTTATTTCCCAAAAAGGCAAATTAAACAAAAAGGCAAATAAATAGAGTCAACTAATACCTGCATCTATTTAATCACATAGACCAACAAACCCATCAAAAATACCAAATTATATGACTAAAATAGTTACATTTTCATAGGTTATTCGGCACAAATAATAAACCCATCATGTAGAAAAGGAAAAGACAGTGAAAATTCTATATCAGAATATTTTTTGATCCCTCGCCTTCGAAGGCAAAAGGGCTAACCCTGGAGAGTTTACGTTATTGAACTCATGACTTAAGTTATGGTGATCCAATTTGCAAGTGTTTTTTGCCCTGACCTATCCGTTCGGGTTAAATACTTGAAGTTAATAAAAAAGACAAAAAAAAGTGTTTCATTTAGAAGACTTGAATTCCAAACACTTTAATAAGAATCTTCTTGGCATTTGAGCTTAAATACTATCTATGGTTGAAGTTCTTTTCTGGATTATCAATCTTCTACGCAGATATGGCGAACATGCGCCATTTTATTCAAATCTTCATTTTGTTTATCTTTCAGGCTTGATGACAACACTGGCATTTTTGTGAGTTTTACTTCTCTGAGGGTTTTAATGTACCGAAGTGCATTTGGAAGCAACTTTAAATTTTTGCAGGATCTAATCTCCAAGTTTTTCAGATTAGGCAATGCTCCTTCCTCCATATTCCATTCCTCTAATAGCTCTAGCTCCCAGAACTTGAGGACTTCAAGTTTAGGAAATCCTCCATACCTGCAAAGCATTTTCTTTCCTAAAAATGATCTGGAAAACAATCTCACAATCCTAAGGTTGGGAAGCTTGTCCAGTGGTTCCAGAAGGCAGACAAGGTGAGTTTCAGTGAGGGGCTTTTTGGGGAAACTTAGATATAAGATATAAGATCTTGATTCTTTAGCTTTCCGACCAAATATACATCAGAAAGCTCCACATTGCCTGACAAAGACTGCAAATGTACATCCCATGGCTGACCTGATTCATCAAATGACTTCAACCTTAGAGATTGAAGGTGTTTTAGATTGAGAACCCAATTCGCCACATTACTCAGTTGTGCGGATAACGCCAATTTTTGAGATGGGGCTGATATTTTGCATTTCAATGCCAAGTTTCTGAATACACCCCAAAATGTTTGAAGGTCCATTAGAGAGTTGTGTTCTTGTGGAGGGAAAAATGTGCTGCAGAAACTCTCATCTAAGAATAAATGTCTTAGTCTTGGCATCTTCAAGATAGTAGTGGGGAAAGTATTGATGCAAGAGCGCTTCAAATCAAGCGTTTGAAGGTTTAGCAATTTATCAATGAACATGGGAAGCATCTCTAGATAAGTTGATCTCAAGCCTAGGTATCTCAAGTGAGTCAGCTGACCGACTGTCTTGGGCAATTTTGGCTTGTAAACATTTTCAAGATCCAGCACCCATAAGAAGTTCCCTATATCTTGTCCTGCTCTACTTCCTTCTCGAGTATCAAATGATATAAAAGTGACAGTATCTCTATAGCAAGAGTCAAGGGAAGTGGTGTTATTACCATGAATGTGCTCAAAGATGGGATCTTTCCGATCAAGATGGTCAGCAACCCGACGTATCGCACAATTATTTTCATTGTGACCTCGGAGAAAATTAGCTTCCTTGGCTTTTGCCAACCAGTGTACTCGCAGGGCTTCTGGTAGGGAACATGTCTTTACCTTCCCATTGGGTTTCCTCTCTGTCACTTGAACCATATTATAACTGATCAACTCTCTCAAACACGCCTCTGCAGCATCTTCAGGGGAATTGTCACCATTCTTTTGGTGCCCCAAACCCTCAGCAACCCACAATGCCATCAATCTTCTTGCAGGAACCTTATAACCCACAGGAAATAATCCAAAATAAAAGAGACATTGCCTCAAATACAAAGGCAAATATTTGTTGATCTCTTCCAAGACTGTTGACCAAGGTTCTTCATCTTGATTTAGTTGGTCAAGTGCCGTTGACCATTCCTCTAGAGTTGCGAGTTGCTTCTCTATGTGGACAGTATTCTTGCTAATTTTCACAATTCACCTTTAATTTCACAATCACCTTAGGCAACCCCCCACATTTTCTTAAAATATGTTTTTTCAGATTTTGCTCTAGCTCTGGAGGGATCTTTATCTTCAAAGCATGTGGGAACAATGCCCAGCTCTCATCATTGCTTTGCAGATGGAGTCTGTAAGCAGAGTTAGTCTCAGTGATTGGTGGAGCTTCTGATAAGCTTCGGACAACAAAAATTATTCTAGTCCCATTTGAAATGTCTCTGAATGCTGTTCCCATTACTCGCCACAACTCCATTGCATTTGAGTCATCAACAACAATGAGACACTTCTTATCCATTAATAAGTTATTAACCATCTGCCTCGCCCTATTTTTGTCGCTTTCTTTTGTGTCATTTGATTGGTGTTATTTAATATAATTTTTATTAGGACTTTTAGTATTTTTAATTACTTTAATTAGTTTATATTTAGTTTTGTTTATGTTTTTGTGTAAAGCTTCATTGAATTATATTTTACTTGGTATTGAGGAATTTTGTAGGATTATTATTATGATAAATGTTACTGCTTATATAATTAATTAATTAGCGTGAAATATTAGTATACTTCTTTATATGAAATTTATTATTTATGTTTTAATAAAAAAATGACAAGTTATTATATCGTACATAATAAGGGGAAAATTATTATTTCGTCCCTGAGGTTTTACATAATTATTTAAGTAGTCCTCGACATTTATACATATATTTATAATATCCCTGAGGTTTGCCACTGTCATATTAATTGGTCCTTCCGTAAAAAAAAATACACTTTTTTTCGTTAATTTTGAGAAGAAAAGACAAAATTATCCTTTAAAAATAATTATTTCATCCCTGAGATTTGCCATAATTATTTAAGTAGTTCCCGACATTTATACAAATATTTATAACGTCCCTGAGGTTCACTTCCGTCATAATAATCGGTCATTCCGTCCAAAAAATACATTTTTTTTGTTAATTTTGAAAGGAAAAGACGAAAATTATCCTTTATAAATTTTCATTGATATTATTGTCAATCTCTTTCAGCTAAAATTCCTAAAACTCAAATTTTCACCATCTAACTCAACCCGACACGATCTTCATTGCCACCACTGTGTCTCTGTCAACCATCATCTCTATAACGAGATCACCACCAAAACTAAAACCCAACATCTAAACTCAATCAAGCCATCATCACCATTCATCCATTTATCTTTCTCTCATTGATTAGAGGATTTAGGGTAGTAGTAGTTTCCCGCCATTCTATACAAATATTATAAAACCGTCCCTGAGGTTACTATCTGTCATATTACTTGGTTCCTTCGGTCCAAAAAAACACACCTTTTTGGCATTGTTAATTTTTTTATAAAATGACCAAAAAACTAACCTAAATCCTCTTAATCAAGTAGACGGAGAGATAAATGGATGAAGGGTTGATTGATGGCTTGATTGAAGTTTGCGATGTTGGGTTTTAGTTTTGGTTGGTGATCTGGTTATGGAGATTGATAGTTTTCATTGACACGGTGGTGCAATGAAGACCGCGTTGGGCTTCGGGAGACCGGTTGAAAATGTGAGTTTGGACTACCCTAAATCCTCTAATCAATGAGAGAAAGATAAATGGATGAATGGTGATGATGGCTTGATTGAGTTTAGATGTTGGGTTTTAGTTTTGGTGGTGATCTCGTTATAGAGATGATGGTTGACAGAGACACAGTGGTGGCAATGAAGATCGTGTCGGGTTGAGTTAGATGGTGAAAATTTGAGTTTTAGGAATTTTAGCTGAAAGAGATTGACAATAATATCAATGAAAATTTATAAAGGATAATTTTCGTCTTTTCCTTTCAAAATTAACAAAAAAAATGTATTTTTTGGACGGAATGACCGATTATTATGACGGAAGTGAACCTCAGGGACGTTATAAATATTTGTATAAATGTCGGGAACTACTTAAATAATTATGGCAAATCTCAGGGATGAAATAATTATTTTTAAAACACACATGCTTTCAGACGGTTACCCAAGCATTAAAGAGAAGAATATTTTTGGATAAAAAATTCAATATTACACTTGGAAATTACAAACAATAAGCAGAAGAAATTACAAGCGCAAAGACATCTACTGATATAGCCTTACTTATTATTTAGACAAAAACTGAACATTAATCATGCATATATTTGCTATAAACAGACAGAGGAATACATATGCTGATACCCCTTATAGGTTTGAACTTTCTGTTTCTGCAGTATCAATTCTTTGTACGCAGATTTGAGGCGGGAACATGGCAATTTTTATCCAAATTCTCATTTTTTGGTTTATCTTTCAGGGTTGATGGATAACATTGGCCCACTCTTTATTAGTTTTTACTTCTCGGAGGGGTGTCAATGCATCGCAGTGCATCAGGAAGCATCTTCAAATTTATGCAGTGTCTTAATCCCAGGGTGTTTCAGACCAGGCATTGCTCCTTCTCTCCATATTCCATTTCCTCTAAAAGCTCCAGCTCCCACAGTTTTTGAGGACTTCAAGCTTTGAAATCCTCCATCTTTGCAAAGCATTTTCTTTCCTTTGAAAATGATCTGGAAAAACAATCTCCACAATCCTAAGGTTGGGAAACTTTTCACAGTGACTGCATTGGTATCGTCGATCAGTCCAGAAGCTGACAGGTGAAAGTCAGTGAAGGCTGTGGGGAAAACTTGATATAAGATCTTGATTTTTAGCTTTCTACAGAACAAACGATAGACAATCGAGAACTCAACATCTGCCGACAAAAGGACTGCAAATGTGAAAGGCGCGGCATGGCTGCACCCTGATTTCAATCCCATGGCTGACCTGATTCATCAAATGACTTCAACCTCAGAGATTGAAGGTGTTTTAGATTCACAACCCAATCTGCTATATTAAACAGTTGCGAGGACATGACTGCTTTTTGAGATGGGACTGATATTTTGCATTTCAGTGCCAATTTTCTGATGCTTAACCAACTGTCTAGGCCATCTTTTACTGGACTATTCTCATCAATGAATCCACCCCGAAATGTTTGAAGGTCCATTAGAGAGTTGGGTTCTCGTGGAGGGAAAAATGTGCTGCAGAAACTCTCATCTAAGAATAAATGCCTTAGTTTTTGCATCTTCCAGATAGTGATGGGGAGAGTATTGATGCAGGTGCGCTTCAAATCAAGCGTTTGAAGGTTCAGCAATTTGTCAATGAACATGGGAAGCATTTCTAGGTAAGTTGATCTCAACCCTAGGTATCTCAAGTGGATGAGCCTAGGTATCTCAAGTGGATGAGCTGATCCTACTGCCTTGGGGCAATTTTGGCTTGTAAACATTTTCAAGATCCAAGGCACCATAGAAAACGGAAGCAATTGCTGGAGATGCATCGAATTCAAGAAAGTTCCCTATATCTTTGTTCCTGCTTCTATTTTCCTTCTCGAGTATCAAATTGATAAGAGAGTGAGGTATCTCTTGTACAAGAGTCAGGGAAGTGGTTGCTGATTACCATGGAATGTGCTCCGAAGATGGCATCATTCCTGATTCAAGATGATCAGCAATGCGGGCGCATGCGAACTTGGTGTTTTTCCAATAGAGCATTGGACAAAAATTAGCTTCCTTAGCTTTTTGCAAACCAGTGTACTACGCAAGGGCCTCTGGTAGGAGGCAACACGTCTTTAACCTTCCCATGAGTTTCCCCATTGGGTTTCCTCTCTGTCACTTGAACCATATTATAACTGATCAACTCTCTCAAACACGCCTCTGCAGCATCTTCAGGGGAATTGTCATCATTCTTTTGGCGCCCCAAACCCTCAGCAACCCACAATGCCATCAATCTTCTTGCAGGAATCTTATAACCCACAGGAAATAATCCAAAATAAAATAGACATCGCCTCAAATACAATGGCAAATATTTGTTGATCTCTTCCAAGACTGTTGACCAAGGTTCTTCATCTTGATTTAGTTGGTCAAGTGCCGTTGACCATTCCTCTAGAGTTGCTTCTCTATGTGACAGTAATTCTGCTAATTTCACAATCACCTTAGGCAATCGGCAAAACCCCCACACAATTTTTTAAATATGTTTTTTTTCAGATTTTTGCTTCTCTAGCTCTGGAGCGGATCTTTATCTTCAAAGGCATGTGTGAACAATTGCCCAGCTCTTCATCATTGCTTCGCAGATGCAGGTCTGTAAGCAGAGTTGGTCTCGGTGACTGTGGAGCTTTTTGATAACCTATCAAACAAGGAAAATTATTCTTGTGCATTAGGATATGTCTCTGAATGCTGTTCCCATTTTCTCGCCAAAATTCACTTGCGTTCGAGCCATCAAACAACGATGAGACAAAACTCCTTATCCAATAATTAAATTTATTAACCATCTCCCTCAGCCTATTTTTGTAGCTTTCGGTCTATACTTTTGATAAGGAACTATAAATATTAATTTTGGACATTCTTTATTATGAAGGCTCCAAAATCTCTTCCCATGATAGCATAATCACTTGATCTAGCAACCCAGTTCGGGTGAGGGAAATTATCTAAAATAACCTGGCTGCCAACAGATCAACTTTGCAAGGTTTGTCTTGCCAATGCCTTTAACACCCACAATTGAAGATGGTGAGTTGCAGAACGAGGATCATCTTTGAGCAGTTGTTTTATAACTGCATCAACATCCTCTTCAAAGCTAACCAGTATCAATTATCAAGTTGTCAGGAGTAGCAGGCAGAAGGAGTTATGCTTGGATATCGGTCCTGTGCCATGTTTCTTTTGATGAATGGCTTCATATCCCTGTGCCATGTTCTTTGATGAATGGCTTCATATCTTCGTTCTGAAATATCAGAGACTTTAACTTGGATTCGAGCCATCTGTTGGACAAGATTATGTTGGGAAATGAATTTATGGGGAGACCAGACTAAGCTTTTGGGATTACCTTTCTCATTTTTAGTCAAGAAGAGCCCAACAACATTCTCGGTGGAGCGACAAACATCGCAAAGTTCTTCCGTCCATGCTATTCCCCTTTCACTCAGTGTTTCTCTTGATTCAAGATCTTTTAGAAAGACCTTCAAGGACTTGAATTCATCTCTTAGCCACCTGGCTTGCTTTCTAACTGCAGGCCTGAGCTGTCTCTTAGTAGCTAAGGCTTCAAACTTAGAAATTACAGGCGAAACAATTGTCGTGCCTATTTCCAAATCATATGGGCTAGAGGTATTATGCCAAATGCCACCTTGGAAAAACATGCTGAATATTCTGGAAATATTAACTTTGATCAGTTCCAATTTTTTGTAGAATCTATAAGAATCTGTCAAGTCGATGAGTGCCAAAACATAAAAGAACTGTCTTGGAAGATCGACAAGGCTCAAAATACAGCGAATGATAGCTTCTCTACTCCTCCTTTGGGCTGATCTGATTATCAACTCATCAATCAAATCTTCAATGTCATACATAATCTCGATTAATACATATGGGGCCAACACATTCTCCGACAAATCAGCATATTCTTCGCAACTGGCTTCGATCCCATTTGGAATTGATCGCTTCGATCCATTGGAATTGATCTTCAAATCCAAGCAATGAATCAGACTCTTGAACAAGAAGATTCAAAATTTTTCCTAAAACAGACAAAACGGTTTGTCTTGCCATGTCTCGGTTAGTTGTTCTGGGAAAGGAAAGCATTTTGCAGAAGAGAGAAGTGAAGGGACGAGCCGAAGAGGAGTAAAGTATGGAGTTTTTTTCTTTATTTCGAAGGAGCGGTCAAGTAAGGTGCTGGGTTAGGGACAGTACTTGTTAGGAGCTTTTTAGTCTGTAAAGAGAAATTTTATGAATTGCTTTTATTATACAAAGTTGGGCATGGTGATGAAACTTTGTCTTCGTTGAATTGAAGTCTTCGTTTTCTTCTACACCGGTAATTTCTAAGTTATTGGATAATTAGCATCCCATATAGCCTTCTTTCACCTTCTTCATCTTAAATACGTGATAGGGATGGTTGTTTTTAAAATGTAAAATGACAGTTGATTGTATAATTATTTTTATTTTCATATAGTATGACATATAATGTGTATACATTTATATTTCATTTTAGAGTCAATATATTATTTTTATTTTTTAAGTTTAATTTTATACATTAAATAAAAATATTTATTAAACTTTTTAAAATAAATTATTATTTTTTTTAAATAATTAAAATTATTATTTTTAAATAATTATAAAAAAAATTAATTAAAAAATTTATTAGTAATTATTTTATAAGATTAATGAAAACCCAGCATAATTTAAATATAAATCACTTACCTGCAAATAAGAAAAAGCTTCAAAATTAATTTGTAAGATCAGCAATTTATTAGAAACCTTTATCATCCATCAATTACTGATTAAAAAGCTTACAATTTGGCTATTAGATAGGAATGAATTAGTTATCAACTAAACGAATGAAGTCAACCAATCATAAGCAAAGCAAAGGAAAGCACATGTTATCAATCAGGTGTAGTTTGATAGGTCTTCTACCTCTTATAGAAAATATAGAGAGTGAAAAATCTTGAGTTCGAGTTCTTCGATGAATCTTTTTCAAAGAAAAGGACTATCCCAACCATTTTGGTCAATACATTTCGAGCTCAAACTTGAGCTCAGCTCATTTATAGCTGATTGGGAACCTGTATTATCAATAAAAACTTACAATTTAATTGTTGGATAGAAATTAATTGGTTATCAGCTAAATGAATCAACTCAATCAACCAAAAGCAATATGTAGGTAATTGCATCTATAGTATTTTTATTATTTGGACATTTATACAGAAAGAAATGCAGATCTCCTCTCTAATAAGAGAAAAAAATTTGAAGGTGATCAAATCTGGCTTGCAAAAAGATCTTAGAGTCGAGCAACGCCATGAATAGCCATCAAGTGAAGCCCATGATCATATATGACACATATATAATGTTCTATCAACTGGATCAGATACAAGATTGTGTTTTTTTATCCTTTATATAAGTAGTTTATTATTAGACTCCTATAAAAAAGTATCATAACTGAAATACCCCGAATTCTTATTTTCGAAACTTTTGAATATTTATTAAATCAAAAATCTGAATTTTCAACCGTCTGGACTGCAAATACTGTTTAATTCTAATTCGAGCCCAAGTTTACGGAGTTGGGCTCAAGCCCAAATCATATTATTAAATATTTGCCGAGTGGAGAAGATATGGAGCCCTAACTATTAATGTATTTTATATGGAGCCCTAACTATTAATGTATTTTAAATATGTAAATGTGAGTGTGGTTACTACATGAATTAATTATCTTAAAAATCTAATATTATGATTATCAAGATTAATATTAAGTAAATTGAAGAAATGTTATAGAACCTAATTAAAATAATAAAAAACTAAATATAAGTAAAAATAAATCAAACCGATTCTGTAAACCAGGTGAGAACCCCGTAAACCAATCTAATATTATGATTATTAATATTAATATTAAGTAAATTGAAGAAATGTTATAGAACCTAATTAAAATAATAAAAATAAATATAAGTAAAAATAAATCAAATCGATTCTGTAAACTAGGTGAGAACCCCGTAAACCAAGCAAGGTCGGGCCAAACTGTTGATTTGGACCAAACCGATTCGAATCGAACTGGAATGGCCCAGAGTTCTTTAGAACCATCTTTTCTTTCTTTTTCTTTCTTCTCCTTCTTCTTCTTCTCCCTCCAACACGCGACAACCTCCTCTTTTCCCCTGGCACCACGTTTTCGGCCACTGCAAGATGAGCACGAGGTGACGGACGACGCACCGTGTGCCGCTGACTACGTTTCCAGCCTCCTCTCACGCGAACGAAGCTCCAGCGGCGCGATCAGACTGCTTCTGCAAACCGCACCTTGCTCTTCCATTTCTTCCATTCTCAGGCGAAATCTCGCCGTTTAGTCGATCTCAGGCGACGGGAAGGGTGCCAATCGACTCCTAATCACCTCTAGAGCATTTTCCTTCCATAAATTTGCGACTTTACCAAAGATTTGAGAAGCAATCGTGCGCGGAGGAGGTGCAGCGGCTGTCGGGCCCAATTCGGCCAATTAGAGGACTGATCTCACTAAACTAACACTAAAAATGGAATCCTTGGTGAATTTTGAGACTAATGGTATGATCGTTGCAAATTTCTGGGCAGTTTTGCTTTTTCCGGCCTCCGTGTACGGCAGCGGTCCGGCGACACTCAGGCGAGGCATCAAGAGACAGAATCTTACTCTCCTCGCGTGGATCCTAGAATCGTCACTTGAATTTCGATCGGTATGCCCTAAGTTCTATTTTCCGATTTGTGTTATAAATTTCAAATTTAAATTTATGGTTTAATTTAGTTAATTTTGAATAGATATTTAATCGAAGGGCTTTGAAATATTAGGTTGGAAGCTTGTGAATTTAATTGGGGGATTTTTAAGAGAATTCGAACTTAGGATTCACTTGTTAGAAATTGTGATTATATTAGGTTGAGTACGTAATTAAAAATCACTATTCAACCTAACTAAATACATTTAATGTTGAAAAATTGTTGAAAATCTAGAAACATAAGTCATTTTTGGAATTAATTCATAAATCGAAATCATGAAGGACGAATCGGTGAAGGACGAATCGGAATTAATTAGTTAGATAATTAGATGATCGAATCTAAATAAATAGTAGTTATAAATAGTTATTGTTAAAAATGAGTTGTAACAACTTAACAATTTAATTACCATAAAGTTATTAATTTGGTCAGCTTATGATTTAACAAATAATCTTATATGAGTATTATTGGGTGTTAATACTGATGTTTAAGGAGGATGGGAATAAAGCTGATTGATTGCCCGATGGATGGGCTGTGTGTATTGATCGATAAATATATAATAATAGTGTGTTATCTAAATAGGTGGATAGTCCAATTTTTTAGGGGAGGTTCTGCCAAAATTTCAATAGAACATAATAAATAAGCTTATTTAGATAAATTCTATAATTTGATACATAATAAATAAAGTGCATAAAGTGCTCTAATTAATTTATTTATTATCATTATTAATTTCGTTTAAGTATTCCATTAATTTATTATTCTCAATTATTGTTATTATTATATTTATTTTATTATTGTTTTATTTAACACTATTTACTTATTTATTTGCATTTGATTTTTGATGTCTAATTGTGCATTGCATTACGATGTTTAATGATTAATATGCTTGCATTTAATTGCAATACTTGATTAATTGTGTTGTGATATTGTGTGCTTTGTTTTGTGTAGAATTGGGATGAAGGGGTTACCATGGTTTGTTAGAGGACGGTCGGATTAAAGCATGGAATCCTAATTATGATGAATTATGAAATTTGGGACCGTTCGGCCAAGAAAATGGGAGATCGGCGCCCTGTGTGCCACCTAATTACCATATTATATTAGAAACCACAGGCATGACCCTATCGTTGTTGCGCACCTGAATAGTCTTAGATTTGATCGCAGCCCGCAGGGTGGCCTTCCTGTTGTTGAGCGCCTGATGAATCAGATTTGTGATGGATACCACCGGGTTGCCTCCTTTGGTTGCCTCCTATTGGTATGGAAAAGAAAATAGAGAATGTAAAAATAATGAGAGGACTGGTCATGTGAGGATTAGACCGGTTGGCCAGGTATGGAGGATTGGCTCCCCGGGTGCACACGTCTTAGAGGATGGGCCATGTGAGAGTACGGCTGGTCGAGGGTTTCGGTGACGCCACTGACTAATTTTCACATGATGTGAATACATGATAATAATTGTGATTGCTGTTTTATTGTCATTTGTGTGATAAACTGCATGATCATATAATTAGTTGGAGGACTAAAATGATTTATGATAGCATATGTGTGATTGTGTGGGGTGAGAGGGTTATCTAACTCTACTCATTGAGTTTGGCGCTCACCCCTGCCTTGTTTTAATTTAAGGAAGTAAGTTTTCTCTTTAATTCGTGTAAAGTTATGTTCCTTCGCCGCAGGCGCTTAGAAGAAAATTTTTCCAGTTCCATAATTATTTTTACTATTTTCCAGTTCCATAATTATTTTACTATGTAATTATATGTATAAAAAGCTATGTATACCAAATAGTTAGTGACTCTGTAGTTGTAGAATTTGCTTACAATTAGTCGTGTATTAACATAGATGATATAATTATGTGAGCCCATATTAAAAATGTGATGTATTGTTAATTGGGCTCGAACTGTGGAATGTTGTGGCTGATAAATTTGGGCCGAGATTTAATAAAATCTTGAGGTTTAATTTTCTATAAATATGGGCTGAATGTTTAAAATTATATTGAAATAGTAAATTTTTAGTGTTTCACGCTTACTAAGGGTCTCAGGGGCCTTAAGCTTATCTGGGCCCTAGTGCCGGTCCAGGCCATGGATTCGGGTCGTGACAGTTACATACACTTTAAAAAAATACAATAATTTGTCTAAACCTGATTTATGAATTCATTCTATTTCTATAGATCAAATGAACGAAAACTATATATATATTTTAAAATGAGAGCGTTGCTAGCTATTACTTAGGAAAAAAAGAAAAAAAATAAAAGTGAAAATAATTTTTAAAGAAATTCGTATTTGATCTATAGGTAAGTCCATATACGGAGAATAAGAAATTTTTATCCTTACAAAATACCATTTTTGAAGTTTTTCAAAAAGCCATTAAAAAATGAAAATGAAAATGACTCTCCAAATATCATTTTGACTAGTTAAGTCTTCATGTATATTTTGGCAACTGCACAAAAGTTAATCCAACGAATGACTATTAAAGTAGTAAAGTCTTACGGTACAAAAAGCACCCTCATTGAAAATTATAAATTTAATTAGGCATACATACATATTTATTTATTTATTTGCAAATTTACACAAATTATCCCAATTCAATTATGTCTCCACATAACATGTCAATAAGTAAGAAAAACCATATTATGATAAGCTTTAACTTCTGTTCTGCATTATCAATCTTCTATGCAGATACGGCGAACATGCGCAATTTTATCCAAATTCTCATTTTGTTTATCTTTCAGGGTTGATGATAACATTGGCAGTTTTATTAGTTTTACTTCTCGGAGGGTGTCAATGCATCGCAGTGCATCAGGAAGCGTCTTCAAATTTATGCAGTGTCTAATCTCCAGGTGTTTCAGACCAGGCATTGCTCCTTTCTCCATATTCCACAGGTGTTTCAGACCAGGCATTGCTCCTTTCTCCATATTCCATTCCTCCAATAGCTCCAGCTCCCACAGCTTGAGGACTTCAAGCTTTGGAAATCCTCCATCTTTGCAAAGCATTTTCTTTCCTGAAAATGATCTGGAAAACAATCTCACAATCCTAAGGTTGGGAAGCTTGTCAAGTGACTGCATTGGATCAGCGATCAGTCCAGAAGCAGACAAGGTGAGTTCAGTGAGGCTTTGGGGAAACTTAGATATAAGATCTTGATTCTTTAGCTTTCCGACCAAATATATATCAGAAAGCTCATTGCCTGACAAAGACTGCAAATGTAGATCCCATGGCTGACCTGATTTCATTCAAATGACTTCAACCTCAGAGAGGTTGAAGGTTTTTAGATTCAGAACCCAATCTGCTTATTAAACAGCTGCAAGGACATGGCTGCTTTTTGAGGATGGGTCTGATATTTTGCATTTCAGTGCCAATTTTCTGCATGCTTAACAAAACTGTCTAGGCCCATTTTTTACTGGCACTTTATTCTCATCAATGAATACACCCAAAATGTTTGAATACACCCCAAAATGTTTGAAGGTCCATTAGAGAGTTGTGTTCTTGTGGAGGGAAAAATGTGCTGCAGAAACTCTCATCTAAGAATAAATGTCTTAGTCTTGGCATCTTCAAGATAGTAGTGGGGAAAGTATTGATGCAAGAGCGCTTCAAATCAAGCGTTTGAAGGTTTAGCAATTTATCAATGAACATGGGAAGCATCTCTAGATAAGTTGATCTCAAGCCTAGGTATCTCAAGTGAGTCAGCTGACCGACTGTCTTGGGCAATTTTGGCTTGTAAACATTTTCAAGATCCAGCACCCATAAGAAACGGAAGCAATTGCTAGAGATGCATCGATCAAGAAAGTTCCCTATATCTTGTCCTGCTCTACTTCCTTCTCGAGTATCAAATGATATAAAAATGACAGTATCTCTATAGGCAAGAGTAACGGAAGTGGTGTTATTACCATGAATGCTGCTCAAAGATGGGATCTTTCTGATCAATATGGTCAGCAAACCCGACGCATCGCACAAGTGTTTTCATTGTGACCTCGGAGAAAATTAGTTCCTTGGCTTTTGCAAACCAGTGTACTCGGCCAGGGGCTTCTGGGTAGGGAACACGTCTTAAACCTTCCCATTGGGTTTCCTCTCTGTCACTTGAACCATATTATAACTGATTCAACTCTCTCAAACACGCCTTCTTGCAGCATCTTCAGGGGAATTGTCATCATTCTTTTGGCGCCCCAAAACCCTCAGGCAACCCCAATGCCATTCAATCTTCTTTGCAGGAACCTTATAACCCACAGGAAATATCCAAATAAAAGAGACATCCGCCTTCAAATACAATTGCAAATATTTTGTTGATCTCTTCCAAGACTGTTGACCAAGGTTCTTCATCTTTGATTTAGTTGGTTCAAGTGCCGTTGACCATTCCTCTAGAGTTGCTATTTCTATGGACAGTAATTCTTGCTAATTTCACAATCAACCTTAGGTAATTTCACAATCACCTTAGGCAACCCCCCACATTTTTAGTGATTTTAGGATTATTTTCCCTACTTGAACAATTAAAATTGATTAATGAACTAATAAAATAAATTGGATAGAATTAAGTGAAGTCAAAATCCCTAGTAGACTATAATCTTTGATTTCTTTTAATCAAATATTGTTGCTTGATTTCTTTTTATTCCCTTTTATTTGTTGAATTTAGTTTCTAAAAATAATTCTCCTTATTGCTGTTTAAATAATAATAGGTTACCATAATTTTGTTACTTGATATACAATCCATGTGGATACGATACTCTTCTCATTCTATATTACTTATTGCGATTTTATACACTTGCGAAAATTGTCATCGTTACTAAAATCATAATATAATTTTGAAGTGTTTTTATAACCAAGTTCCCAAAATATAATTTCCATGACACCAACCTCAGTTGATCCATCTACCCAAATCCGGTGAGGGAAATTATCTAAAATAATCTGGCTTTCATATATGAACTTCACAAGCCTTGTCTTGCCAATGCCTTTAACACCTCTTGCCAATGCCTTTAACACCCACAATTGAAATGGTAAGGCAGCGGAGATTATCTTTCAGCAGTTGTTTTATAACTGCATCAACATCCTCTTCAAGGCTAACTATATCAGTATCAAGTTGCTCTGCAAAAGAAGAAGGTAATCTTATATCACCATACAAGTGATGCCCTGACCTTCGATGAATGGCTTCATACCTTCTTTTAGAAATATCAGAGACTTTATTCTGGATTCGAACCATTTGTCCGGAAAGCTTATGTTGGGAAATGAAATTATGGGGAGACCAAACTAAGCTTTTGGGATTACCTATCTCTTTTTTAGTCAAGAAGAGCCCAACAACATTCTCAGCAGAGCGACAAACATCGCAAAGTTGTTCGATCCATGCCATTCTCTTTTCACTAATTGTTTCTTGTGATTCAAGATCTTTTAGAAAGACCTTCAAAGACTTGAATTCATCTCTTAACAACCTGGCTTGCGTTCTAACTGGAGGCTTAAGCTGTCTCTTAGCAACTAAGGCTTCAAACTTAGAAATTACAGGCGAAACAATTGTAGTTCCTATTTCCAAATCATATGGGCTAAAGGTATTATGCCAATAACCAGATTGGAAAAACTTGCTGAATATTCTGGATATATTAACTTTGATCAGTTCCAATTTCTTGTAGAATCTATAAGAATCTGTCAAGTCGATGAGTGCCAAAAAAAACATAAAAGAATTGTCTTGGCAGATCAACAAGGCTCAAAATACAGCGAATGATAGCTTCTCCACTCCTCCTTTGGGCTGATCTGATTATCAACTCATCAATCAAATCTTCAATGTCATACATAATCTCGATTAATACATATGGGGACAACACATTCTCCTCCAAATCAGCATATTTTTGCAACTGGGCTTCGATCCATTGGAATCGATCATCAAATTCAAGCAATGAATCAGATTCTTGAATAAGAAGATTCAAAATTTTTCCTAAAACAGACAACACGGTTTGTCTTGCCACGTATGGGTTAGTTGTTCTGGGGAAGGAAAGCATGTTGCAGAAGAGAGAAGTGAAGGGAAGAGGAGTAAAGTTGAGTAAAAGTTTGGTTTTTTTTTTCTTTTTCCCTGTATTTCGAAGGAGGGGTCAAGTAAGGTGATATGTGTAGAGACAGTACTTATTAGGAGCTTTTAGTCTCTGAGGAGATATTGGGGCATGGTGATCAAACTTTGGCTTTGTTGACTAGAAGTCTTTCGTTTTCTTCTACACTGGCAATTTCTAAGTTATTGGCTTTTTCAGTATTCTTTTTTTGCTTTTTACAACACTCTTCTGTAAACTAAAATTAGAGTAACCAAAAAAAAACAAAGGTTATAATTTATTATGTCAAATAATTTCTCATTTTGCCTGGCAAATTTCATCATTTGCCCTGTTGCCTGGCAAATTTCAACTTTCAATAAATAATTATTTATTATATGGTTTATTCATTTAAACAATTAAAATTATTATAAATTTTAAAAAAATAACACAAACATGCTTGAGACAGTACCAAGCATAAAGAGAAGAATAATTATGGATAAATATTCAATATTACACTAGAAATTACAACAATAAAAGAAGAATTACAAGCTGCAAAGACATCTCTGATATGGCTTATTATTAGACAATGCAGATATTTGCTATAAACAAACAGAGGAATACATATGCTGATACCCTTTATAATTGAACTTCTGTTCTGCATTATCAATCTTCTATACTGATGAGGCGCACATGCGCAATTTTATCCAAATTCCGATCCAAATTCTCATTTTGTTTATCTTTCAGGGTTGATGATAACATTGGCAGTTTTATTAGTTTAACTTCTCGGAGGGTGTCAATGCAGCGCAGTGCATCAGGAAGCATCTTCAAATTTATGCAGTGTCTAATCTCCAGGAGTTTCAGACTAGGCATTGCTCCTTTTTCCATATTCCATTCCTGTAATAGCTCCAGCTCCCATAGCTTGAGGACTTCAAGCTTTGGAAATCCTCCATCTTTGCAAAACATTTTCTTTCCTGAAAATGATTTCGAAAACAATCTCACAATTCTGAGGTTGGGAAGCTTCTCTAATGTCTGCATAGGGTCCTCGATTAGTCCAGATGCAGACAAGGTGACCTCAGTGAGGCTTCGCGGAAAATTAGATATAAGATCTTGATTCTTTAGCTTTCCAACCAAATATATATCAGCAAGCTCCACATTGCCTGACAAAGACTGCAAATGTACATCCCAAGGCTGACCTGATTCATCAAATGACTTCAACCTCAGAGATTGAAGGTGTTTTAGATTCACAAATGACTTCAACCTCAGAGATTGAAGGTGTTTTAGAATTCGACCAATCTGCTATATTAAAACAGTTGCAGAGGTTACATGAACTGCTTTTTGAGATGGACTGATATTTTTGCATTTCAGTTTGCCAAAATTTTCCTGAATGCTTAAACAAACTGTCTAGGCCATTTCTTTTACTGGACTATTCTCATCAATGAATACCCAAAATGTTTGAAGGTCCATTAGAAGAGTTGGGTTCTGTGGAGGGAAAAATGTGCAGCCAGAAACTCTCAATCTAAGAATAAAATGCGTTAGTTTCTGCATCTTCCAGATAGTTGTGGCGGAGAGTATTGATGCAAGTGCGCTTCAAATCAAAGCCGTTTGAAGGTTCAGCAATTTGTCAATGAACATGGGAAGCATTTCTAGGTAAGTTGATCCTCAATCCTAGGTATCTCAAGTGAAGAGCTGACCTTACTGCCTTTGGGCAATTTTTGGCCCTGTAACATTTTTCAAAATTATCCAGCCACCCATCAGGAAATGGAAGCAATTTGCTAGAGAATGCCCATCGGTCAAGAAGTTCCCTATATCTTGTCCTGCTCTAGCTTCCTTCTCGAGTATCAAATGATATAAAAGTGACAGTATCTCTATAAAACAAGAGTTAAAGGAAGTGGTGTTATTACCCCATGAATGTGCTCAAAGATGGATTCTTTTCTGGATCAAAGATGGTCCAGCAATGCGGCGCATGGAACTGGTGTTTTCAAATATGAGCTTGGAGAAAATTAGCTTCCTTAAGCTTTTGCAAAACCAAGTGTACTCGCAGGGCCTCTGGTAGGCAACACGTCTTTCACGCTTCCCATTGGGGTTTCCTCTCCTGTCACTTGAAAAACCGTATTAATAACTGATCAACTCTCTCAAACACGCCTCTGCAACATCTTCAGGGGAGTTGTCAAAATCAATTTCTGTTGACGGCCCCAGACCCTCAGCAACCCACAAAGCAATGCAAAATCTCTTGCAGGAACGCTTAATAACCCACAGGAATAATCCAAAATAAAAGAGACATCGGCTCAAATAACAATGGCAAATATTTTTGTTTGATCTCTTCCAAGGCCGCCCTGACCAAGGTTCTTCATCTTTATTTAGTTGGGTCAAGCACCCTTGAGCCATTCCTTCCTAGAGTTAAATCTCTCTGTGATAGCAGTTTCTGCTAATTTCAACAATCACCTTCCGGCACCCCCCACATTCCCCCACATTTTCTTAAAATATGTTTTTTCAGATTTTGCTCTAGCTCTGGAGGGATCTTTATCTTCAAAGCATGTCTGAACAATTCCCAGCTCTCAACATTGCTTCGCAGATGCAGTCTGTAAGCAGAGTTGGTCTCGGTGACTGGTGGAGCTTTTGACAACCTATCAACAAGGAAAATTATTCTTGTGCCATTAGATATGTCTCTGAATGCTGTTCCCATTTCTCGCCAAAATTCACTTGCGTTCGAGCCATCAACAACGATGAGACACTTCTTATCCAATAACAAATTATTAACCATCTCCCTCAGCCTATTTTTGTAGCTTTCGTCTATGACAAGATAAGAACTAAAATATGATTTTGGACATTCTTTATTATGAAGGCTCAAAATCTCTTCCATGATATCAAAATCAATTGATCTAGCAACCCAGTTCCGGTGAGGGAAATTATCTAAAATAACCTGGCTGCCACAGATCAACTTTGCAAGGTTTGTCTTGCCAATGCCTTTAACACCCACACCACAATTGAATATGGTGAGGCAGCGAGGATCATCTTTGAGCAAGTGTTTTAATTAACTGCCATCAACATTCCTCTTCAAAGCTAACCATCATCAAATATCAAGTTGCTTAAGGATAGCAGTAGGAGGAGTTATGCTTGGAATATCGGTCCCTGTGCCATGTTCTTTGATGGCTTGGATATCGGTCCCTGTGCCATGTTCTTTGATGAATGGCTTCATATCTTCGTTCTGAAATATCAGAGACTTTAACTTGGATTCGAGCCATCTGTTGGACAAGATTATGTTGGGAAATGAATTTATGGGGAGACCAAACTAAGCTTTTGGGATTACCTTTCTCATTTTTAGTCAAGAAGAGCCCAACGACATTCTCAGTGGAGCGACAAACATCGCAAAGTTCTTCCGTCCATGACATTCCCCTTTCACTCAGTGTTTCTCGAGATTCAAGATCTTTTAGAAAGACCTTCAAGGACTTGAATTCATCTCTTAACCGCCTGGCTTGCTTTCTAACTGCAGGCCTGAGCTGTCTCTTAGTAGCTAAGGCTTCAAACTTAGAAATTACAGGCGAAACAATTGTCATGCCTATTTCCAAATCATATGGGCTAAAGGTATTATGCCAAAAACCAGAATGGAAAAACATGCTGAATATGGCAGAAAAGTTATGTTCGATTGCTCCCAATTTCTTGTAGAATCTATAAGAATCTGTCAAGTCGATGAGAGCTAAAACATAAAAGAAATGTTTTGGAAGATGAACAAAGCCCATAATATTGCGAATGAAAGCTTCTCTGTTGCGAATGAAAGCTTCTCTGTTCCTTCTTTGGTATGATCTGATTTCCAACTCTTCAATCAAATCTTCAACGTCGTACATAACCTCCATTACTATCTCCGGGGGGAACATCAATCTTTCAGAATCATCAGCATATTCTCGCAATTGGGCTTCGATCCATTGAATCTGATCATCAAATCCAAGCAACGAATCAGACTCTTGAATAAGAAGATTCGAAATTTTCCCCCAAAGGGACAAGGCGGCTTGTATTGCCATGGAGAAAGAAAAGGAGGTTGCAGGAAAGAGAAGTGGAAAGAAGAGGAGTGAAGTTGGAGTTCTTTCAAATAAGAAAAGAATAAGTATGGAGACTCTCTCAAAGTCTTCAAGCAATTAGAATCCACCGTGTTGCTTTAATAAAGCAATTCTTGTTTCTTTATTTATTAAAGCAATTCTTGAAGGAATTGGAATTTGGAAGTGAGTTTAGGAGAAAAAAAAATGTGTATTCTCATGTGTGATTTTGTTTGTCTTCTATTTTTTTTTTTTTTCTCCTTGAAAACTTGCAATTGGCTTCTGGTTTTCTAATGAAAAAACTAAGGTCGCAAGAACACGAGCATAAGATTTCAATGTTTCTGAATGAAACCTGACAAAACAAGTGAAATACAATATTTCCTCCTTGAAAATATAATGATACTTGCAAGTGAATTTCAGAACAACTGAGGCAAAACAAGAAATTTGACAAACTGATCTCTGTAAGGTGATTATTAGATTTAATATTTTGGTTAAAAAGAAAAAAAAATAACGAGTGGTTACAGAAACAGAGGAATACACAATTTCACATAGGCTCCAATATTTGTTAAAAAGAAAAAATATATATATAACTAATATATATATAATTAATGGATATGATTGATTGCAATGTCTGAAATAAAAGGTATGTATTACTGACTAAAAAGAAAAGAATTTATCAGAATTAATAATTGTATCATACATAATATACGAATGAAATATTATAAGAATATAGAAATCCAATCCTGTGTTGCCTGTTAGTAATTAATTTATACCAGGAAGAAAATGTTATCCCTAATCATTTCTTAATTACAACTATATAAGCATACTTGGTTATAAATGACATGCTTATGCCCTCCTTCCCTTTACGTTCTTTCCCTCGCCACTGCCAAAATTGTGTGTTAATGACACAACAATATTACATACAGGCATTTGTCCCTTTACGTTCTTTCCCTCGCCACTGCCAAAATTGTGTGTTAATGACACAACAATATTACATACAGGCATTTGTTTAGCTCACAACCAACTTGACTCTTGCATTGCCTTTAGAAATCTGAAATTGTTCAGTAATAACCAGATGAGCCATCAATAACCAGACATGAGTAAGAAGCTCCCCTCCTCCAGTTAGTTTCTTCGCATGGTTGTTCCATCCACATAGATTTGCTGCATAACAAAGCATCTCTATCCACACATCATTTATCATCTTCCTTTTCTTCTCACTTGTCCATTGCTCTTCTGTGTCCAGAGACTGCAAAGACTTAGCAAGCCTGCATGCGTCGAATAGCACCGATTTGCTTCTATCTCCTTTCACTTGGGATGGAAGAATATCAGTGTTCACTTGAAGCAATGCAGTGCAAGCTTGGATTTTGTCTGACATGTATTTCTTTTCATGAAAAAATTGAGTGGCTTCTGCACAGGTGTCTTGAAATCTAATCTGTCCAATTCCATTGGGGAGCATGAAAGGGCATACGACTAGAAGATAACGACTAGAAGATACAGCAAATGTAATTCGCTATCGATTTCGCTTCTTTTACATAATGGGTTTTCAAATAATATTTGAATTTGTTTTTAGATCACTGTAAAAGCAGAGGATCTGTGGCAATGTGACATAGAAGAATGCTGTGATCAAATTTTGTTTTAAACACTCCAGCCAATCTTGTCGAAACTCCCGTTTCTCTGAGTGCCTGATCACCCCTTTGAGTACATAAATTTTTGGGATATGGCTTCATGTCTAATATGTTGATAGATTTCTCAAAAGTTGCTCAAAGATGCGCGTTTTTTTATCTGAGGAGAACAGTATCTAAAACATTGTATCGGATAATCTCTCCAGTATCTCATAAATGCAAGGCACAAGAATCTTGAAGATTCCACCTGAAACTTGAATTGGCTTCTCTTCTTAGCAAAAACTTATCAGACTGAATTTTGCCAATGGAATTTAGACCGCCCAGTTTGTTGAAAAGTGAGTTAAGGTCTTTCCGAGTTCGGGTCTTCTTGATTTTCATGAGTTTAAGGAGATGAATGAGCTAAGCCAGATCCGCTATTCCTGACTTGGAATCTCTTGCTAACAGCCGGCATCATATGACAAGATTGCAACCATGACTGGGAGACAGCAGGTAAGTCTTGTAGAATGGGATCCACGCAGCAGATTTTTGTGTTTGCTCAAACCAAGTAATGTTAAATCAGAGGAAAATAGTATATAGCCAATCTCGTATAACTTGTAAAAACAATAGGCAGCAACAAGCCAAAACACAAGTTATGCTCTTGTCAATTCTTGAGTAAGAGGGCTTATCAATTAGAAAAAGGCTAAGAGAGTAAAAACGGTTAAAGATAACTAATGGTAAGGAGAGCTGCCAAGATAGTATGTATCACACTTGCCTTGGTTAAAAAGCAAATCATACATGAATCCAAGCTCAAAAACTCAACTCACTTTAAAAGCTTTCTTCCCAAGTCATGTGCCTCATGTTGGGAAGAAGGACCGGCTACTCTCAATATCTGGAGCTGAGGATAAGTCAGCAAATAATCGTTTTTGAAAATGCTGAAGAAATATGCAGGCATTCATGCAAGACGAACAAGCATCAGGAACAATGCTGGTTTGCTGGCAGCTTTACAAGACTGGCCAAGCACAATGGAAAGCTTCCTCAATCACAGGCTCCAAACAGGCTCCAACGACACATTGTAACCCTCAATCACAGCTTCCTCAATCACAATGCAGCATGCATTTCCTAAACTGATCACTGCTTGCAAATCGTAGAGCCCAAATCCTCTCCCCACACTTAATTATTGCAAGAACAAACATTGGAACTGCTAGAAAGTTGATTGGACTTCCCATCCATGACCTAATTAAGATATAAAATGCCCTACCGATTGGAATCCTGTATTAGCAATAAAAACTTACAGTTTAATTGTTAGATAGAATAATTGCAATTTATTATGTCAAATAATTTGTCATTTTGCCCGGCAAATTTCAAATTTCAACTTTCGATAAATAATTATTTATTATTTGGTTTATTCATTTAAACAATTAAAATTATTATAAATTTTAAAAAAATAACACACACATGCTTGAGAAATTTTAAAAAAATAACACACACATGCTTGAGACAGTACCAAGCATAAAGAGAAGAATAGTTATGGATAAAAATTCAATATTACACTGGAAATTACCACAACAACAGAAGAATTACAAGCTGCAAAGACATCTCCGATATGCCTTACTTATTATTAGACAAAAACTGACATTAATCATGTTGAAGCATTGGCGTTTTAGTTTCCAGCAGAAGAAGTCAATAACAGATATTTTATTCTCCTAGTTTTTAGCATTATTTTTCTCAGTTAGTTTTTATCTCCTGATATGCAGTAACAATAAAGTAGATAGGTTTGTTATTTTATTATGTATAAATTCACAGTTTGAGCTGAATAATATTTATCTGTCTTCTTTCTCCTTCACACTCTTCTTTAAACATCACTTTTTAGTAGATATATTTCTTTCTTTTCCTTTCAAACACTATCAGTGGTATCAGAGCCACAGTTGATCTTATAGGACCCAACCCAAAAAAAAAAAAATATAAAAATAAAAACCCGTTTAACCTAAAAAACAAATGGCATCCAACCAGCCACCTTTAAACCCACCTGTTACCTTCATTGGTGAGAATTATCACATTTGGTCAGTGAAGATGCAAGCCTTTTTGGAAGCCTATGACCTCTGGGAGACTGTAACTGAAGATAGACCGATTCCTCCTCTACCAGCAAATCCTACCTTGGCACAAATCAAGTACGATTCCTCCTCTACCAGCAAATCCTACCTTGGCACAAATCAAGTTTAATAGTGATGAAAAAGCAAAGAAATCCAAGGCCAAGTCACTTATTCTAATAGTGATGATAATAGTGATGAAAAAGCAAAGAAATCCAAGGCCAAGTCACTTATTCAGAATTCTGTGGCAGATAGTGTGTTCTATAGAATCATGGCTTGTAAGACAGCAAAAGAGGCTTGGAATAGATTGAAAGAAGAATATCAAGGCAGTGACAGAACACGCCAAATGCAAGTGTTGAACTTGAAAAGAGAATTTGAGTCTCTGCATATGGAAGAGGATGAAACAATTAGTAAATATACTAATCGAATCTCCTTAATTGTCAATAACATTAGACTACTTAGTGAAGATTTTGCAGACACAAGAATTGTGGAGAAAGTTCTTGTTACTCTTCCTGAGAGGTTTGAATCCAAAATTTCCTCTCTTGAAGAGTCCAAGGACCTGAGTACAATCTCATTGGGTGAGCTAATGAGTGCTTTTCAAGCACAAGAACAAAGGAGGACTATGGAACAAGAAAGGTTCACTGAAGGAGCCTTTTCTGTCCAGAAGCAATATTCTGGTAACGGAAAGCAACAATTTAACCAAAGAAATAAGAACAAGTTTAACGAGGGGAATGGTAAGCAAAAACCATTTCCTGTCTGCAAACACCGTAAAAAAACAACACATCTCGAAAAATACTGTTGGTGGAGGGCTGATGCTGTATGTGGTACTTGTAAACAAATGGGGCACATATCCAAGGTCTGCAAATTTAAAAAACCCTCTAAATCTTCACAAGCACAACTGGCAGAAATTGATGATGCATAAGAGGAGCAGCTTTTTGTCGTTTCTTGTTTTTCAACAAATGACTCTTCTGACTCTTGATAGTGCTTGTACACATCACCTGTGTAATGATGCTGGGATGTTCAAATTCCTTGATGACACTTATAAAACCAGAGTAAAAGTGGGAAATGGAGAGCTTGTACAAGCCAAAGGCAGAGGTATAGTGGTTGTTTCAACTTTTTCAATATCATAGAGCTTATAACATTAAATGTACATGATTGCTTGTAATTTTTGTATTAATTTTCTTTTGTCAGTCTTACAGCTGTAATTCTTTTCAAGGGATTTCCACCTTAGAAAAAGAAAAAAGCTTTTGAGGTAAAAGATCTGTAAAAAAAAAAAAAAAAAAACTAGTGGTGGGATTCCCATTGGGATTTTTAAAATTACAGTTTTTTTTTTTTTTTTCCCTTGTTTATTAATGAAAATTCACTGTATCTTGGAAGAACAATCACACGTCACATGTTACAGTCTGGCTCTTTTGGATTTGTTAATGAAAATTCTCTCTCTGCGTTAAGTGTTATATTTTTGGCTTTCTTGAACTAAAGAGAACATGAACTTTTTATCTAATTTTATAGGTTTACTGTGGAGTTGTGGCTCATTTTTTGTGGAAGAATTTACTGTATATCAAACACTCCGACAACGACAAGGATATGAATTCTGGGACGAGGGTATGACGATCTAGTGCAATTCTTTTTATATTTTTTGTAACTTGTACATGAGAATTTATACAAATCGGAGTTTAACTTTCATTTTCGGAGTTTAACTTTCATTTTTTGAATATATGGAAAAAAAATAGGAGATTGTATAGACAAATTAATTTAAAATAAAAAAGGAAATTATGTCTATAGAGTATGGACACTTCCGATTCACTTGAAGTTCTTGATTCGTTTCGGTGTTTTCCACTAACATTAATGTGTTCTGAAATCCAATTATATTTTGTATCATTACCAACAATGCATTAAATAGTATTTTGGTCAATTATGGTAATAATAATATTTGTTTGTTTAAAAAAAATTTAAGTGAAATATAGAATGAATAATTCTAGTGATAAATAATGCTCAATTTCCTCCCAAAATCTAATAAAAAATTAAATTTTTAGATCGATTTTTAAAAGAAGCTCTAATTAGAAGATTAAGCAATAATCAATTAAAATTTCATAATTGAAAAATTTTTATTAAAATTGATCCAAGAGTTCAATTTTAAATATATTATTTATTGCAATCAAATTTAAGGGCAACTGCCCGATAATTCTATTTCTATGTTTAAAGCGTGGTTTCATCATATTCTGGTCGATGGCTGTTAATAGGTGGGATGATAGATAAGTTACGCTTAATCACACGAGTACCCACTCTTAAAGTTCTCTAGTGGATTACATTATAATTAGCAATTTGGGGGTCCCTTCTCTCTGGAGATTTGATCAAACGAGGATGATTTATAATCGAGGTTGTCAGATTCTCAGACACATCATTTAATTATGCATGGACCATAGCTCCTGGATTCAAGACAAGACTCACATGCTTGCTCTCTCTCCCCATCTCCTTCGTATTTCCATTTCTCTTTTCTTTTTTCCATTTAAACATGAAGTAAGAACTATGTCAAGAGGATTCTGATCTAATAACTCAATAAACTTAAATTATGTCTTATCCATTTTCATCCATGATTCTCATATTTCATTTCTGTTCTATTACAGTTTATAGTCATTAGCCACCTTTCTATTTTGCTATTACAAAAATTACAGCACAAAAAGCACTCTCATTGAAAATTATAAATTTAATTAGGCATACATACATATTTATTTATTTATTTGCAAATTTACACAAATTATCCCAATTCTTATGTCTCCACATAACATGTCAATAAGTAAGAAAAACCATATTATGATAAGCTTTAATTTTGAAAACTTCCAAAGAGTTTGAAAATTTCCAATAGCCTTAAACCCCTCTTCGGTAAACTAAATTAGAGTAAAAAAAAGAAGAAGAAAGGTAATATATTTATTAAATGTAAATAATTTGTCATTTTTGCCTGGCAAAATTGTCAATATTTCAACTTTCAATAAATAATATTATTATATTGTGTTTATTCATTTAAAACAATTTAAAATTATTATAGAAAAGTGTAAAAAAATCAAAAGCAACCACACATGCTTGAGAAGTACCAAGCATAAAGAGAAGAAAGTTACGGATAAATATCATAATACCTCTGGGAAAATTAAACAATAACAAAGAATTACAAGCTGCAAAACATCTCTGATAATGTCCTACTTATTATTAGACAAAAAAACTGACATTAATCATGCATATATTTGCTATAAACAAACAGAGGAATACATATGCTGATACCTTTAATAATGAACTTCTTTCTGCATTATCAATCTTTCTATACAGATGAGGCGCAATGCCGCATTTTATCCAAATTCCCTCAATTTTGTTTATGCTTTCAGAGTTGCAGTGAAACCAATTGGCACTTTCTATATTGTTTTTACCTTCTCGAGGTTCAATGCATCGCAGCGCATCAGGGAAAGCATCTTCAAATTTAGCAGCGGTCTAATCTCAGTGTTTCAGACTAGGCATTGCCCTTTCCTCCATATCCATTCCTCCAATGCTCCAGCCTCCCACAGCTTGAGATTTCAAGCTTTGGAAATCTCCATCTTTGCAAAGCATTTTTCTTCCTGAAAATGATCTGGAAACAATCTCATGCCAGATCCTAAGCTTTGGAAGCTTGTCAGTGACTGCAATTGGATCGTCGATCAGTTCCAGAAGCAGACAAGGTGAATTCAGTGAGGCTTTGAGATATAAGATCTTGATTCTTTAGCTTTCCGACCAAATATACATCAGAAATCAGAAAGCTCCACATTGCCTGACAAAGAAGTCAAAGGAAGATCCCATGGCTGACCTGATTCATCAAATGACTTCAACCTCAGAGATTGAAGGTGTTTTAGATTCACAACCCAATCTGCTATATTAAACAGTTGCAAGGACATGACTGCTTTTTGAGATGGGACTGATATTTTGCATTTCAGAGCCAATTCTAGGCCATCTTTTACTGGACTATTCTCATCAATGAATACACCCCAAAATGTTTGAAGGTCCATTAGAGAGTTGGGTTCTTGTGGAGGGAAAAATGTGCTGCAGAAACTCTCATCTAAGAATAAATGCCTTAGTTTTTGCATCTTCCAGATAGTTGTGGGGAGAGTATTGATTCAAGTGCGCTTCAAATCAAGCGTTTGAAGGTTCAGCAATTTGTCAATGAACATGGGAAGCATTTCTAGGTAAGTTGATCTCAATCCTAGGTATCTCAAGTGAAAGAGCTGACCTACGGCCTTGGGCAATTTTGGCTTGTAAACATTTTAAACATTTTCAAGATCCAGCACCCATAGGAAATGGAAGCAATTGCTAGAGATGCATCGATCAGAAAAGTTCCATATCTTGGTCTGCTCTACTTTCCTTCTCGAGTAAAAATGGATATAAAAGTGACAGTATCTATAACAAAGTTGAAGGGTAGCGGTATTATTACCAGAAATGTGCTCAAAGATGGAATTTCTGATCAAGATGGTCACAACCCGACGTATCGCAGCATGTTTTCAGTTGTGACCTCGGCAGAAAATTACTCCCTTGGCTTTTGCAAACCAGTGTACTCCGCATGGGCTTCTGGTTTGGAAATGTATTAACCTTTCCATTGGGTTCCTCTCCTGTCACTTGAACATACATATTATAACTATCAACTCTCTCAAAACACGGCCTCTGCAGCATCTTTCAGGAATTGTCATCATTCTTGGCGCCCCAACCCTCAAGCACCCACAAGGCCATCATCTTCTTGCCAGAACTTATACCCACAGAAATAAATCAAAATAAACGAGACATCGCCTCAATACAAAGCAAATATGTTGATCCTTCCAAACTAATTGAACCAAGGTCTTCATCTTTATTTAGTCTGGTCAAGCACCCTTGACATGTTCCCTAAAGTTGCATCTTCTGTGAATAGCAGTGCTGCTATTTCACAATCACTTCGGCAACCCCCCCATTTCTTAAAATATTTTTTTTCAGATTTGTGCTCTACTCTGGAGGGATCTTTGTCTGAACAATTCCCAGCTCTCAACATTGCTTCGCAGATGCAGTCTGTAAGCAGAGTTGGTCTCGGTGACTGGCGGAGCTTTTGATAACCTATCAACAAGGAAAATTATTCTTGTGCCATTAGATATGTCTCTGAATGCCGTTCCCATTTCTCGCCAAAATTTACTTGCGGTCGAGCCATCAACAACGATGAGACACTTCTTATCCAATAATAAATCATTAACCATCTCCCTCAGCCTATTTGTGTAGCTTTAATTTCTGACACGTTTTGGACATTCTTTATTATGAAGGCTCAAAATCTCTTCCATGATAGCGTAATCACTTGATCTAGCAACCCAGTTCCGGTGAGGGAAATTATCTAAAATAACCTGGCTGCCACAGTTCAACTTTGCAAGGTTTGTCTTCCCAGTGCCTTACCCACAATTGAAATGGTGAGGCAGCGAGGATCATCTTTGAGCAGTTGTTTTATAACTGCATCAACATCCTCTTCAAAGCTAACCATATCAATATCAAGTTGCTGAGGAGTAGCAGTAGGAGGAGTTATGCTTGGATATCGGTCCCTGTGCCATGTTCTTTGATGAATGGCTTCATATCTTCGTTCTGAAATATCAGAGACTTTAACTTGGATTCGAGCCATCTGTTGGACAAGATTATGTTGGGAAATGAATTTATGGGGGGACCAGACTAAGCTTTTGGTATTACCTTTCTCATTTTTGGTCAAGAAGAGCCCAACAACATTCTGGGTGGAGCGACAAACATCGCAAAGTTCTTCCGTCCATGCCATTCCCCTTTCGCTCAGTGTTTCTCGTGATTCAAGGACCTTCAAGGACTTGAATTCATCTCTTAATCACCTGGCTTGCTTTCTAACTGCAGGCCTGAGCTGTCTCTTAGTAGCTAAGGCTTCAAACTTAGAAATTACAGGCGAAACGATCGTCGTGCCTATTTCCAAATCATATGGGCTAAAGGTATTATGCCAAAAACCAGAATGGAAAACATGCTGAATATTCTGGAAATATTAACTTTGATCAGTTCCAATTTTTTGTAGAATCTATAAGATTCTGTCAAGTCGATGAGTGCCAAAACATAAAAGAACTGTCTTGGAAGATCGACAAGGCTCATAATACAGCGAATAATAGCTTCTCTGCTCCTCCTTTGGGCTGATCTGATTATCAACTCATCAATCAAATCTTCAATGTCATACATAATCTCGTTTAATGCATATGGGGACAACACAGTATTCGACAAATCAGCATATCTCGCAACTGGGCTTCGATCCATTGGAAATGATCTTCAAATCCAAGCAATGAATCAGACTCTTGAACAAGAAGATTCAAAATTTTTCCTAAAACAGACAAAACGGTTGGACTTGCCATGCCTCGGTTAGTTGTTCTGGGAAAGGAAAGCAGCAGAAGAAGAATTGAAGGACGACGAAGAGGAGTAAAGTACGGACAAGTAAGGTGTTGGGTTAGGGACAGTACTATTTAGGAGCTTTTAGTCTGTAAAGAGAAATTTTATGAATTGCTTTTATTATACAAAGTTGGGCATGGTGATGAAACTTTGTCTTCGTTGAATTGAAGTCTTCGTTTTCTTCTACACTGTTAATTTCTAAGTCATTGGATAATTAGCATCTCACATAGCCTTTTTTTTCGCCTTCTTCATCTTAAATAAGTGATAGGCATGATTAAACCGTTTCTTCTTTCACTGGCATTGCTTGCACAAAAAAGAGAAGGGATAAGAGATATATTGTTTTAGGTGATTTCAGATGCTGTTATAAGTGTTTTAGCTGTTCGAAATTATATTACTACATCCGTCTGATCTATCCGTTTATATTTGAGATATGAGATGAGCATGTGCCGAAAGTTTGGCTTTATTCACTTTGAAGTCTTCTTTTTCTTCTATAACAAATTTCTAAGAAACCACTTGCAATTTTCTCTATAATTGGATTACCACTAAGAAACAAGAGGTCTCGAGTTCGACCTCTGAATATAGAATCTCTTTAAACATCCGAGAGAGAGCGTTTTGCCTCTTTTTGTAGTTTTATGTGGCCCAAATCTGAATTAGTACTGATTTCGAACACCAAATAGTTAAAAAAATAATAATAATAAAGGTGCATAGACAAGGTTAAAAAACAATATATGTAGAGACTCCATCAAAGTCTTTCTAACAATTGGAATCCACTATGTTGTATATTAATAAAGCAATTCTTTTCCTTTTTTTTTGGGAATAAAGTAATTCTTAAAGCGATTTGGAGGTGAACTTAGGGGAATAAAAAATGAGGTATTGCTATTTATATGCTTTTTACAAAATTGGTATTTTAAATGTTTTTGCAAAAAATAACAAAGGGTCACTATCAAAATATTTCAAAATTTTTAATTTAAAGAATTAGCTCAATTAATTAATAGATGGATTTACTTTCCGTCTTATTAATCTGGGTTCAACTTTTGGAACCAAAAACTAAATGAATATTTTTTTTTTATTTAGGATTCTCTTAATCTCGATATGGATAAATTTGCTCTCCCTTGCCCTTTGTTTGTACAAAATGGTGTAGAACAGAAAAAGAAAGTGAAATTCAATATTTTTAAAAATTTTTACACTGAAAATTCTATATCAAAATATTTTTTGATACCTTGCCCTCGAAGGCAAAAGGCTGACCCTGAAGAGTTTGCATTATTGAATTCATGACTTAAGTCATGGTGATTAACCCTGCAAATGTGAGTTGCCGTTCGGGTTAAATACAGAACATAGCTGGAGTTAATAAAAAGACAAAAAAAAGTGTTTCAGTTAGAAGACTTGAATTCCAAACACTTTAATAAGAATCTTCTTGGCATTTGAGCTTAAGTACTCTCTAGAGTTGAAGTTCTTTTCTGGATTATCAATCTTCTATGCAGATATGGCGAACATGCGTGATTTTATTCAAATCTTCATTTTGTTTATCTTTCAGGCTTGATGATAACACTGGCATTTTTGTTAGTTTTACTTCTCTGAGGGTTTTAATGCATCGCAGTGCATTTGGAAGCATCTTTAAATTTTTGCAGGATCTAATCTCCAAGTTTTTCAGATTAGACAATGCTCGTTCCTCCATATTCCATTCCTCTAATAGCTCTAGCTCCCAGAGCTTGAGGACTTCGCAAGCATGTTCTTTCTAAAAACGATCTGAAAACAATCTCAACAATCTAACTAGAAGCAGACAAGGTGAGTTCAGTGAGGCTTGGGGAAACTTAGATATAAGATCTTGATTCTTTAGCTTTCCGACCAAATATATATCAGAAAGCTCCACATTGCCTGACAAAGACTGCAAATGTAGATCCCATGGCTGACCTGATTCATCAAATGACTTCAACCTTAGATATTGATGGTGTTTTAGATTGAGAACCCAATTCGCCACATTACTCAGTTGTGCGGACAGCGCCAATTTTTGAGATGGGGCTGATATTTTGCATTTCAATGCCAAGTTTCTGATGTTTAACAAACTGTCTAGGCCATCTTTTACTGGACTATTCTCATCAATGAATACACCCCAAAATGTTTGAAGGTCCATGAGAGAGTTGTGTTCTTGTGGAGGGAAAAATGTGCTGCAGAAACTCTCATCTAAGAATAAATGTCTTAGTTTTGGCATCTTCCAGATAGTAACGGGGAGAGTATTATGCAAGTGCGCTTCCAATCAAGCGTTTGAAGGTTCAGCAATTTGTCTTGTATTTTGTATTTTGTATTCTCATCAAGGTTTGTCCTGCCATGTATGGGTTAGTTGTTCTGGGGAAGGAAAGTATGTTGCAGAAGAGAGAAGTGAAGGGAAGAGGAGTAAAGTTTGGAGATTTTTTTTTTTTTTTCTCTTCATTTCGGAGGAGCGGTCAAGTAAGGTGACATGTGTAGAGACAGTAATTATTAGGACCTTTTAGTCTCTGAGGAGATATTTGGGCATGGTGATCAAACATTGGCTTTGTTGA